ATGCAGTTTACTTGGCATCTGAAAATACATTTCCTTGAAGGTGTTTTGAATCTCAAAAGAGCTTCACTGAGTGAGAAGAAGTGGATCTCAGCAAACAGTTTAAGTTTCACTTTCACTTTCACCCGTTTGCTTTGTTACTGCCGACAACCTACAGGAGTCATGGGTGGGGTGTGKKGGGTGGGAGTGGGGAGGTGTGCTCCGTGATGAGGAARTTTGGCTTAAAGACAYGTCCCAGGGGCGTTTCTGGTCACAAAAGGCGTTTCTRGTCCCCACCTGTCGTTTTGCTCCTCAGCATGGCTTCCTAAATAYGCTGCAGGATTTCTCAAACATGCATGAATGAGTCARAGCAAGGCTTTGGGCATGTTTTGTATGAGAGTATAACATTATWACATGATATAAAACTCAAAAAAGTAGATTTTACATGATATTGCCYCTTTAAGTAAATTTTTCTTTCTTTTAAGCGGGCCGGACAGAAGTTGTCTACAGGCCACATTTGGCCCGCAGGCCTTGAATTTGACACATGGAATTTAACAGACCAAAGACAGAGTAATTGTCTCGCCTCTGATATCCTTCGCCTCGTTTTCCTCCCTTGAAATCTCCTCTGAGTTCTCTCGCTTCCTWTCGTGTCCCCCTTCCTTCGCCTCTTTTCTCTTCTTCGCCTCCACCTCTTTGGCGCCGCCATCCTCCCGTGACTCTCCGTCTTCCCTGCTCTCATCCTCCTCTTCTCGTCCATCTCCCRCCCTCTTCCCCTGGGATAGGATGGATCTTTCGCCGGGGCCTCCCAAAGCATCCAACATGGATCGATCTGGGAACAGAGAAAGGCTGGAATTGAATTCACTTCAGGAAATCGATTTTCCCGTCACGTAGAAAGACATTCCTTAAACAAAGAAAGTAAGGTTTRTTGCAGTAGAATTTATGTGTGTTTTGGTCGATGTGTTCAGCTTATCAGCCCTGACCCATGACTGTTTYGGAGTGTTATTTAAAAACTGATGCATCTCTTGTTTCTTATTTTAGGATTTGCAGGGAGCCTTGCAGTGACTAACAAAAGCTAGGTGTGGGAGGACCTCATGCATGTCCTCATTCTGTCCACAACACATCAGCAGACTATAAATTCCCTTCASCACTTTTCCCCCCTCTGCTCATCAGCACTACCTTACTGAAAGTGTAATCTTAAAAAAAGTAAAGACTGCACATCTTTAAAAAATGTTTCCTGTTTGCAAAACCTCACTAATCCAAGCCCCCAAACACTCACCAGCAACACGATCCTTTGTGTGAAGAGTTTTAGTTGTGGGCGTCGGTGCGTCGGCGTATCTCTGCACCACAGCCCTCTCATGACCACCTCCAAAAACAATAAGAAATATTCCATAAGCTTTCTGTCTAATCCATCATTTCCCACTTTGCGTTAACAAACGTGCGCCGTCAGCACGCAAACACTTGCTCTGAGTGACCCGTGACTCACCTTTCACAGCGATCTCCTGCAGCTCCTTCAGAAAGTTGTGATGACGAAGGATGGCGAGGAGCCTGTCATCTGCAGCAACAGGAAAAACACAAGTTATGATGTGTGTCTTATAGTAAGTCTCCCAAAAA